CAATATTGAAACAATTAAGTTCAAAGCCTTATATGCTAATTCTAAAGACCAATTCAAATGGTATGAATGAAACACATGGTCTTAGTATTTATAGCTCAAGTGGTGTGTTCTTTCAAAGCTTATGAAAGTTTAACTAACTCATCTTTAGCAAAGGCTTCATATATCAATTTTGTATATAATGAATTTCATAACCTATTGCTAATGGTTTAAGGTCTTATGAATGATATAAATGATAAGCGTGGTCCTAAAGTCCACAAGTCAAGAGATGAGCTTCGAAATGAAGTTACTTCAAAAATAACTTTACAATTTAAGCTAAGCACTCACCCAAGACTATTCTACCCAATTCTTTTTTCTTCCTTTTCTTTAAGCTTTGGGTTGATGTCTCTATCTTTCTTTGACTTCAATGTCTTTTGAGCTTCATGATTTCATTTTCAAGTATAGGATACTACTTGGCTTTGCCATTGATCCACAAGCTCTCTTGAGTTCTTAGATATAGACAAGCTCTCTTGAGTTCTTAAATTCAACACCTTCAATGGTTTGTTATCTTGAAAATGCTCATTTACCCTTGGTTAGAAACCTTAGGTCAACAATATATTTAATAAATATTTATAATAAAACATTTTTCAACAAACTACCAGATCTGGATTTCTGTGATCAAACTTAATCAAATTATAATAAAACTAGTGCAAGACATGCATGAATGCCATAGTAAGAATATATGTTCCCTAGTCATTAATTAATGATTAGTTAGGCATAGGTCCACTGAATAAATCAAAGCAACCACTAAATCCATCAACTTAGCTGGTCTCGGGTGACTAAATCTAAGAAAGAAGGTGGTTGTATAAGTAGATTGGATGACATTCAATCTGCTGCTTGCTGCTCTCTGGTTAGGGATTTTATTCAAAGCAAGGATAGGTTGTGGGTCGCTTGGTTCAATAACATGTACATTCCTCATCCCACATGCTGGTTGGCTGCTCCATTTGCAACTCATTCTGTTATCTGGAGGAATTTTTTGAGTGTTAGAGATCATATGCTGCAAAATATTTCCTATCAGATATGTAATGGGGCAAAATTAAATTCTTTCTTGATTCTTCGTATAATGGAACTCTGTTAAGGAATCAATTTTCTCTTAGAGCTCTGAGGTCCATTACTTTATCTAGAGATGCTACTCTTAGATATTTGATTGTCAATGGGGAATGGAATCTTGACTGCTTCACTTCTGCAGATCTGCTTCCTCTTGAGCAATTTCTGTTTCACACTCCCATTTCTTGTGCTCGAGACAAAATTCTATGGAAGGCCTGGTACCTTGTTGAACTCATTATTCTCATGTTTCTTGGGCTTCTCTTTGCTGGAAAGCAGGTAGGCCAAGGATTTCTGTAGCCTGCTGCATCATTATTCTTGACAAGCATCCATCTTTTGTTAATCTACAGAAAAGAGGATGGAGCTTACCATCTACCTCAGTCTGAAATCACACCAAAAAGAAACCATCGTGAAACGACACCACTTTTGCATCCAAGTTCCACCTCTTGATGAAATTTTCGAGAAAGGGAAAGAAAGGCCTCTTCCCTAGCACATACCCAAGTACCGAATTCTTCAAATACTCAACGTCCTCTGCAACATCATCATCAGTCACCTTAATCGTATCCACATGATGACTCTCTTCTGTAAATGAAAGATTCACAAAAGAGTTTTCAGTTGCACCCTGAAACAAACTCATCCATCCAGTGCATGGTGGAGAGGTTTTTCGGCCATTAGACCCTTTTGGCAGTTGTTGGGAGGAGGTCTGACCCTCCTCCATGGTGAGACTCACTCTTCCATCACGCTATAGTAGCCTAGATCACATAGGAGAAACCCTAGCAATGGCTACAATGCGTGCAGAAACCCTAGCCCTAAAAAAATTGCCCACTAAAATTGTAAATTCAATTATATAATTTTTTTTTTCTTTTTTCAAGGCAATAAGTGTTAGATGTTAGATTAGTAGATGCAGAGAGTCGAAGCCCGGCAGTCCAAGGTCCACGGGAGGCACTAATCCAATGGCAAAGTCTAAAATAAAACACACTCATTAATAAATGACACCAAAAAAAAAAAAATGCATCATATGATATTATCTCAAACTAACTACTGAATAACTTAATACTATCAAATGAAAAGGCATAATGAGTAAGTGTCTCGTCATTGCTCTTTTTTATCTTAAGTTTCCGTATCTTGCATCCCCTGGGACTGTCCTGTAAAATTACTTTTAAGGCTTCCCTTGCATAAATAAGTGAAGACCAAGAAATGTACACCTCGTTCTCTTCTTTCATTTTCTCCCCATCTTCTTTGAAGATATCTATTTCTAATCCTAGAACACAATCTTCCTTTTGGGAGTAGCAGTTCAAATCATAGATTACTGGGATAATAGAGTTCTATAGGAACATGTGACCATTGAGTCTAACAAAATTGGTTAAAATGTAATAAATTAGGTTGGTGGACCAAATTGGTAAAATTAAATCTGCTAACCATCTCTAGAACCTGATATGGGCTCAAGCTTTTGGACATAAATAATGATGTAGAGAATAGGTTTCTTTGTCATTTGAGCATACTGGAAAGGATAAATGCAAACCCCATATATATATATATATATATATATATATATATATGTTGATAAATAAAATGTATTAGAAAGCGTTCAAAAGGGGAATGCATCCCAAGAGAGATACAAGAAACCAAACAAAAAGCCCTATGGACCCAAACCCAAAGAACCCAAAAAGTCCACAATCTCATTTAAAGATATACAATTTCTCCCCATCACCTAACTAAAAATAGAACTAATAATAGCAAATTTCAGCGCCCCAATGGAGGTTTCCTCCCCATCAAAAGATCTTTTGTTTTGCTCTTTCCAGATGCTCCACCAAACATAAAGGGGGGTCACCCTCCAACAGACACGAGCATAGTCCCCCACCCTATGGCCCCTCCAAATGTTAATCAAATCCCTTGAAGACTGAGGCATAACCCAATGGATGCCAAAAAGACCAAAAATAGGACTCTAAGCCATAGGATAATGCAAGTGAAGGTGATCCATAGACTCTCCATCATGTTTATACATACAACACCACTTGACTGTAATCTGTCTTTTCTTTCTCAAATTGTCCAGAGTCAGAATCTTACCTAAAGCCGTAGTTCAAATAAAAAGTGCCACCTTGAGAGGAACAGTCTTCCACGGGAAACTAGAGCCATGAAAACCAGCGAGGCAAAGGAATAAAGAACGGACATCAAACCTCCCCTGAGGAGAAGGCATCCAAACCAAGGAGTCAGACCCTCTACCATCCACATCCTGTCTATACAAAAGATCCAAAAGGCCAAGGACATCCTCAAGTTCCCAATCCTGGAAAGAACACCGAAAATGCACATCCCACGTTAGCCTTCTGCTATTAAGCCGATAACAATCTGCTACCATATCATGTCTATCCGCAGCAATCCTAAAAAGTCTCGGAAACAACCTAGACAAAGGGAAAACCCCCCACCAATAATACTCTTAGAACCGAACATCCCTGCCCTCCCGAACTTTGAACCTCATATGCTTAGACAGCTCGTCCCAACCCTTGCGAATAAATTTCCACACTCCCACACCAACAACAGATCTAACCGGCCTTGAAGATCATCCTCCTCTCTCCTTCCCAAAGCGATACGCTATAATCCTCCTCCATAAGTGATGTCTCTCACTACCAAATCTCAATTAACCACTTCCCAAGAGGCGCCCTATAAAAGGGGATCATTCTCGTAAGACCAAGACCGCCCATTTGAAACGGCCTGCAAACATGTTCCCACCTGACAAGATGATAATTGAAATCCTCACCCCTTCCACCCCAAAAAAAATTCCGTTGGAGATTCTCCAATCTATCAACAACAGTGCACGGGATCTGAAAGAGGGATAGGAAAAATGTTGGGAGACTAGACAAGGTGCTCTTTATAAAAGTGACTTTCCCACCCTTCGAAAGATATTGCTTCTTCCATTCGGCCAATCGATTCTCGAAACGCTGAATCACTGAACCCCAAACATCCACCCTCTTGGCCGAAGCACCCAAAGGCAAACCCAAATAAGTAATCGGAAAGGAATTTATCCCACATCCTAGAGCCGGCAAACCCCATAAATAGAAAACTCATTTATCGTTGGCTCCTAAGATTCCCACGGTGAGCACATGTTTTTAGCGAGTGTACAAACCTACTGATAGATCAATTACTATTTTATTGAGATTAACATTGTATTTGGAGTTATGGAATTGGCACCTTGGAATAGGAATTGGAGAAAATTTAGTCAAAGTTCCAAGGCACCAATTTTATGCTCCCAAACATAGCCTGAGTATGCACATGATCGGACACCCGTTCTCATGACTAGGAAGAGATATACTTGGCATTCTTATGAATCATTCTAAAAGAATTTGTATTGATGGAGTTCCAGAAGAGAGAGATTTGGCAATCTTATGAATCATTCTGAAAGAATGTGTATTGATGCAGTTCGAGAAGAGAGAGAGAGAAGAAGAAGAAGAAATGAGAAGATTAGGAAAGAAGAAGGATTATGGGGAAGAACTCAATGTATCCACAATCTTAATAATCATCAAAAAGATTATGAAACCTTATTACATAAGAATTACTTATAGACAAAATCATAAGCAAACCTTAATGAATTTGCTTAATGAAACCTTAAAATATGAAAATACAAAAATAAGCCTAAACTTAAACATGAACAAAATAATAGAAATAAAATAAATATTTTACTCTAAATTTATCAACTCTCTACGTCATTCCCCCTTCCAAAAGAGAGGTGACACATGTGCGGCTTATGCATGTGACTCATATCTTGTTTTCATTCTGTATTTTTATGGTTGGTACTTCGGTAGGTTTTTTTATTTTTTATTTTATATATATCTATTTTTTGAACAGTCACAGGAAACAATATGCATCCAATTTTGCCTCTGCAACAATGACATTCCTTCTAATTTTTCCATCATGTGTTTTTGCAGGGAATGAGATTCTAATGGCAGAGATGTCTGAGAGGGCTCTCATGGCTGCAAAGCCCAATGCCTCTGCTGAGATTGCGCAATACATTCTTTCTCTAGTCGAGTTATCGGCTGCGAAGATGTGAATTAAGGTTGTGAAGGACTGATTTTCATTTTCAACACTAGACAAAAATATGTAGACGGTACGTTTATGTTCATATATATATATAATTGGTATGCCTGAGAAGTGGGGAATGCGATATATATATATATATATCAATAGTATAAATGGAATACTAGTTTTTCTTTTCTCATTCTAAATATGAAATGCAAAGTTTCCAATTAACTTTATAAAGTGGGCACATTACATAACCGTCTGAAGTGAAGTACATCGTGTATGATAATGCATTCGTTTCACACGAGTGGAATTAGGAGAAAACAAATAGAATCAGAAACTTCAAAAGAAAAGAAAATGTAACTTGATTAAATATCTCTATTGCATTTCTAATGTTGTAACTTCTTTGACTTGATTAGTTCAATAAAGATGGGGGAGATGATGATCCGAATGGAAGAACTTTAACAGCTAATTTACAAAATGCAGCTTTTTCTTTCAGTTTCCTTTGTTTGGTGTTTTAACTTTTAAGACTTTGCTACTCAATCTTGTCATCATGTATATGAGCTGATATTGTTTAACAAGAGTTGAATATATACAGAACTCTTTCTACATGTAGCTCTGTTATATGTAATGCTCTGTTCTATGTAATGCAAATTGTAATGGATGTGTGTTACTGGTTTCTTATCCTTGATCTAGTAGTTCAAATATAGTAAGTGATGCAGGCAAATTTCTAATTTTCTGCAAGTGCTATTTGTGTTTTTCAAGAAATTTCCATATTTTGAAATTTTCCTTATTTTGTGTAGTTTTATGATTTTCAACAGCTTTCTTATTTTGATTTTAATTTATATTGGGTAGTTAGCTAATATAAGGCTAGGATTGGGGAGGAAGAAACTCTATATAAAGCCTTGTAATTGCTAGGGTTTGGGGATGAGTTGAAGATATTATATTTTTACAGCAAATAAAGTTTGCTTTGCAATCCTCCTTTCTCTTGCATCATTCTTGTTGAAAGAGAGTGAGAGAAAGAGAATATATGAAAACGTATATGTTATTGAGTTAGTAATACAATAATACAATGGTGTTTATATAGGAGAAGCTACAGGAGTAGGTGAGTGGAGAACAAAAAAACCCTATACATGGTAATTCTATATATGGTAATGAGGGGTAGGTGAAAACTCAAACAATACTAACTGTACACGTGTGACAACTCATACAATACTGTACAACACTCCCCCTCAAGCTGGAGAGTAAATGTCAATAACTCCCAGCTTGCTACATATGGAATCAATAGAGTTCTTGGGAAGCGCCTTAGTGAAGATGTCTGCCAGCTTGTCTACCAGAAGGAACAAAAGGTGTAACAATCTCATTCAAGTCAACTTTAGATCGAATGAAATGGCAATCTACTTCAATGTGTTTAGTCTTCTCATGGTAGACTGGATTGCTAGCAATATGAATAGCTGCCAGATTGTCACAATGAAGAGGAATTGGGTACTGGACTGAAATTCCAAGTTCGTGTAAAAGAGTTTTCAACCAATTAAGTTCACAGGCAGTGTGTGCCATGGCACGATACTCTGCTTCAACACTGGAACGGATCACAACTGACTGTTTCTTGCTCCTCCAAGTTATTAGATTTCCTCATATAAAGGTGCAGTAACCCGTGGTGGACCGTCGATCAGAAGGAGAACCAGCCCAATCTGCATCTGTATATCCCTCAATCCGAAGATGTCCAGAAGATCGATAAAGCAGACCACGTCCTGGAGCACCATTGAGATACTTCAAGATGCATACAACTGCCTCTATGTGAGGTACCCGAGGACTAGTTATGAACTTTCTCACAACACTGACTGCATAGGAGATGTCTGGACGAGTGATTGTGAGATAAATAAGTTTACCTATAAGTCTTCGATACATCTTTGGATCATCGAGTGGGTCACCATCATCCACCTTAAGTTTTACATTAGTCTCCATGGGTGTAGCTACGGGTTTCAAACCAAGATATCCAGTATCCTGTAAGAGATTTAAAGTATACTTCTGCTGAGAAAGACTAATGCCTTGCTTCGACCGAGCCACCTCAATTCCTAGAAAATACCGAAGTTTGCCCAAATCCTTAGTAAGGAAGCTAGAACTCAAGTGATGGATTAGAACTTGTATCCCATCTTTCACACTGCCGGTGATAACAATATCATCTATATACACTACAAGAATCACAATACCACGTTTCGTTTTCTTAAAAAAGAAAGAGTGGTCAACTTGGCTTCTAGCCATACCCTGAGCCACCACTGCTTTACTAAACTTATCAAACCATGCACAAGGGGACCGTTTGAGGCCATAGATAGACTTCTTGAGATGACACACACACTCCCCCTTATACTCAAACCCAGGTGGCTAAGTCATATAGACTTTCTCATTAAGGTCACCATGCAGAAAGGCATTTTTAACATCAAGTTGATGAAGTGGCCAGTCTAGATTAGCTGCAAGAGAGATTATCATACGAACAGAATTCAGTTTGGCCACAAGAGAGAACGTCTCAATAAAATCATGGCCACAAATCTTAGTATAGGCTTTAGCAACAAGTCGAGCTTTGAGACGTTCAACGGTACCATTAGGCTTCTGTTTAACAGTAAAAACCCAACGACAACCAACAACCTGAGTATCAACAAGCTTAGGAACAATTTTAAAGCATTTATTTATTCTTCCATAGCTTTCCTCCACCCTGGATGAGAAAGTGCCTCCCTTTAGGACTTAGGAAGAGCAATAGAGGATAATGACAAAGAAAAAGCTTGAAAGGAGGAGGATAATTTATTATACGATACAAAATTAGAGATAGGGTGATTGGTACAAAACCGTTTACCTTTCCGAATAGCAATAGGTTGATTAAGATCAAAGTCCGGAGAGATGGAGGAATCTCCAGGCGTTGACACAACTGGTGGAAGTGGCAAAGCTGGGTTTACTACTTCAGTCGTTGGAACATGATTAACTACTCTTTTCCTGCGACGAGCATAGACACAAAGAGCTGGTGGGATGTCAGAATCAAAAACTGGAGTTGGAAGAACAGACTCTTGAAGAGCAGAGTCCTCCAGACGTCTGCCTTCCTGAGAATAATAAGGAACATCCTCAAAGAAAGTGACATCTGCACACACAAATTGTTTTCGAAGAGTTAGAATGTAGCATTTATATCCCTTTTGAGTACGAGAATAACCTAAGAAAATACATTTGTGAGCACGAGGATCTAGTTTGTCTCGTCCCGGGCTTAGATTATGAACAAAACGGACACACCCAGGAATGGAAAAAGGATTTTTGTCAGAAAACATTATTTGGAAGGGTGATTTTCCTTGAAGGACACTAGAAGGCATGCAGTTTAAAAGATGAGCAGTAACCAGAACTGCATCTGCCCAAAAATGTTTTGGAACATGCATTTGAATTATTAAGGCACCAGCGATAGCTAGGAGTGGGCCATTCTTCCGTTTAGCAACTTCATTTTGTTGAGGGATATCAACACAAGATGTTTGATGGATAATGCCCCTCGACTCAAGAAAATTTTGAAAAACTTTTAGTTTATATTCAAGGGCATTGTCAGTTCTAAGAACAAGTAATTTTGCATCAAAAGGATTTTGAATTTCAGCATAAAAGGATTGAAAAACAAAGAATACTTGAGATCTATCTTTAAGAATATAAACCCAAGTTAAACGTAAATAATCATCAATAAATAACACAAAATAACGAGCACTAAATAAACCAGTAGTACGAGCTGGTCCCCAAACATCCGATTGTACTAACTTAAAAGGTTTTAAACTTTTATCAAAACGATATTTAAAAGTAACCCGACGATGTTTACTAAGTTCGCAAGTAGTACAATTAAACTTAGAAAAAACCAACTAAAGAAGGGACCAAGGCTCGAAGACTATTTGAAGAGGGATGTCCAAGGCGGTAATGCCACTGGCAAGCTGAAGAGGAGGTGGAATGTAGAGCTGTCAGAGCAGTAGTTGGCTGGAAGTAGTAAAGACCATCCTTCTCAAACCCCCCACCATTCGTCTTTTTCGTCTTAAGATCCTGAAAGACACAACGGGAAGGAGAAAAAGTAACGAAGCAATTTAAATCTGATATGATTTTGCGAACTGACAATAAATTGAATGAAAATTGAGGGATATATAAAACCGATGAAAAAGTGAGACCCGAAGTGCGGAAGGTACCAATTCCATGAACAGGTGATTTGGCACCATTCGCTATACTAACAACCGATGGTGAGAAAACATGAGAAATATCAGACATAAAAGATGGGTTACCTGTCATGTGATCGGATGCCCCTGAATCAATGATCCAAGGTGTAAAAGATGAAGCATAGAGACATGTATTACCTAAAGTAACGATAGTAGTGGTGGGGGAGGGCTGATTTGCACGCTCACGCTTTACCAGTTTAGTGTTGGTGATTGACCCAAGAAGATGGGATTCCTTAGTATCCATCACAAGAGCTGCTAAACAAATGAGATATAGTAGCGAGAGGGAGCCGAGATAAGAGAACCAAGATCTAGTCGAGATGAACCCGAGAGAAATTATCGAAGAGAAAGCCGAGGAGGGATCTAAGAGCGATTGCTGAGACGAGAAATGAGATCACTGAGGAGAGATCGCCGAGAAGAGCTTGAGAGAAAGCTAAGATGGAATCAAGATCGGAGTCTGAATAAGACTTAAAAAAAAAAAAAAAAAATTAAGAGGGATCGATTTCCGCTCTGATAACATGTTGAAATAAAGTGAGAGAAAGAGAATATATGAAAACGTATATGTTATTGAGTTAGTAATACAATAATACAATGGTGTTTATTTAGGAGAAGCTACGGGAGTAGGTGAGTGGAGAACAAGGAAACCCTATACATGGTAATTCTATATATGGTAATGAGGGGTAGGTGACAACTCAAACAATACTAACTGTACACGTGTGACAACTTATATAATATTGTACAACAATTCTTTTATTTCGTTTCAATATTGCTGTGAAGGCGATTTGATCGTCTCCTCTTTTGGTAATGTGGCATCAGTTTGGTGTTAGAGCTTTGGTTTCGTCTTCTCGACTGCTCAATCATGCCTCCACAACAACAACCGAGAGGAGGAAATTGTAGGATGCGAAATCTGGCTAAACCCTTACCCAAGCAACACGAAGGCGAGAAAAGAGTTTTTGTGGAGACAGGTTGAGTTGTCGACTCAACTATTGGGTCAATGTGTTGTGCCTGTTGATGACAATATTCCGGTGGATGATGATGTGTCAAACACCAACACTATCGCGGAAAATCCGCTCGATGTTCCGTGTCTCCATAGATAATCCGATGAGCAAACTGACCGTCGTTGGCTGGCAAATTTTAAATTCGAGATTTATAAGGACAACTATCTTAAAGAGGATCTCAAAATGACGGATACATGGCTGATCATGAAGCTTTTGGATTCATGGAGATAAATAAATATGGATTTTACTTTAATGACATGATTTGGGATGAATTCTTGGTGCGCACTACAATTGCTAGGTGATTGTTGGAACAAAAGTTAAAGTTGATTAAATTTCTAGTTCCAAATATGTGTTCCACCAAGTTTTGTGAATCTATTCAGTTTCAAAGAAAATCTTATGCAATTGTATTCTTTGTTAGTATTAGAAGATTAACGTATTTGATTCGAGCATGGAAAAGAAGAAAGAATGGATGGAAAGCCATGCTTAGATTTTTTATTGATCGTGGAAAATCGCTCCAAACTCGAGGGCGAGTTCTTTCCAACCCGGGGGGACTGATGCAGGCAAATTTCTAATTTTCTACAAGTGGAATTTGTGTCTTTCAGAAACTTTCCATATTTTGAATTTTTCCTTATTTTGTGTAGTTTTCTGATTTTCAACAGCTTTCCTATTTTGATTTTAATTTATATTGGGCAGTTAGCTAGCATAAGGCTAGGATTGGGGAGGAAGAAACTACATATAAAACCTTGTAATTGCTAGGGTTTGAGGATGAGTTGAAGATATTATATTTTTATAGCAAATAAAGTTTGCTTTGCAATTCTCCTTTCTCTTGCATTGTTCTTTTATTTCATTTCAATATTGTTGTAAAGGCGATTTGACCGTCTCCTCTTAGTAAGGCGGCATCAATAATTATTGGGTATAATCGTGATATGTAGCGAATTGATATTGGTTATAATCATTTAATCACTCAATGGTAATTATTCTCTTGGACATGTGCTTTATGTTACTTTACCTTCATCTAGGTGATATTTCCTAGTCTTTCTTCTTCTTCTTCTTCTTTTCCTAACTGTAATGTTCATTTTACTTGGGATCAGCTAGATTTGTCGGTTTCGCTGCATTCATAAGGATTTGGACAAATCAATTATAGTATTGCTTTTCTTTTGTAACCTTTTCATGTGTGGGGGGACATTAAGGCTTTAAACATCATCTTTTTACACAAAATATTCTCTTTTTTCATTTTTTTTAATCTAATTTTCTTTTCAGCTTTTATTAGCCATATGATAATCGTCTCTTATATATTTGGTAGGGTATTGTTTATCTAGGATACTATACTTTCAGTTACCAATATTTGCTTTATATATGTCAACCATAAGGCATCGTTTTTAAATATTTGATATTGCTTTATTTTATTTATTTATTGTATTTGATGTTGGATTACTCCTCTATCACATGGGTTTCTTTAAGCAATAGTAATGTTATCTTTCACATGAACAAAGAAAATGCTATTTTTTATTTCTCTAAATGTTTCTTTATTTTTTTTATTTTATGTTATTTTTCTTTGGACAGTTAAAAACAAATCCCCACTACAAAAAGTCTGGGATTAGCAGATGACCGTGGAAGCACCGATTGACAGATAGTTCTTGAATTGCTAATTGTTCTTATACATAATTATTTTCAACGTATATTTCACGAGCCTTTCATTCTGGCAAGGTAACAGAACAATCTGGTTTTCTTTATATGCTTATGTATGTATGTCAGTACGTGTATAATATTTCTATGAGTTGAATCAACTTGTGATGGTTCTGATTTTTTTTGGCTCTATTTTCTCTCTAATTTTTTAAATAAAATTGATTAGGTTTATGTGATTCTTCAATTTCTATCTGCAAGTTTGTTTCATTGTGTAATAGAAACTAAAGTGGGCTTTAGTGACAATTGATATTGTGGGATAGAAAATACTCTGATTCTGTTGTTTCTTTGACAACTCGGAGCTTTCTGGTTTATCAATATGAGTAATCTCCAATTCATGAATTCTTGAGATTTAAATGTATTTGAGATGGGTTTCACTTGATGATCAGGAAAGTTTGATATGATGTTATGTGATTGTAATTAAAAGTTGGTTTGAAGGACATGACATATAACAGTTTAGACTTTCAAGGGTTTTTAGGGTCTTTATTGCTTAAATTATGTTCATTTATGGAAAAGATTTAGAGCCTTTAAATAAAAAATCCCTTGAAAGAGTTGTTTCACTGCTCTGCAAATTGGTAGCTCATTTCCCTGTTAAATTTGTGTGCTGGGTTTTCTGGCTTATTTGGGTTTGGAAAAACTCGGTGGGAAAAATCCATTGCGAAGGGAAAAGAGCACAATATCCTTGTGTCTGGAAATGGTATTGCAGTCTTACTAAAACCTTATCAGGAAAACCTAGTAGGAAAAAGCCGGAGTTGGTACAAGAATTCATTGTGAGAACGAGGACGAAGGTTGGATTGGATGAAGTAGTAGTACGAAGTTAACACAAGAACAGCTTACGCTTGTGTTGTGTGGTGAATTCCCAGATAACCACTCACTTGTTCTTCTCTTGCTCATACGTCTCCTCCATCTGGAGTGCAATTCAGAACATGTATCGATTTGACACACAACAAAGATCGGATTGGGACCTTTTTGTTGCTTGGGGTAGCTTCCACCAGAGGAGAAACACACGATTGAGTTTAATTTGCAAAGTTGTTCTCTCATCCGCAGTCTATGGTATTTAGAGTGAACGGAATGCAAGAATCTTTCTTCGTTACAGAACAATGGGATGAGGAAAAATCCAATCCTCTGTTTTTGAAAAGCTCTCCACACTTCCAGGCAATGATGAACTCACCGATCTTCTTGCTGAGTGGGAAGTTCTCCCTTGGCTCTGTCCACTGCCGCAACCACCAGATGCCACCATCTGATGTATTGATCGGCTGACATCGGGATCGTGCTTCTCTTTGATCACCGGATTTTATTATATCTATTGATTATACCAGGAATAGGCATTACCTTTCAAAAAAAAAAAAAAAAACAGCTTAAAGCAGAAGAGGACGACCAGGACTTTGGGTGAAAAGTTCTCTGACTTGCTTAACAATTCATCTGAGTCTCACTACCTGGGAGTACTCTTAGTTCTATATATGGTTATGCATTTATAGATAGCTTGAATTGCTAGCACTATTTTCTTCACTTGTTATGATTTGGCTGTGTTTGCTTTGTTGATGGATGCTATTTCTAAACTAGTTTTCCAAGTTCTGCCCAAATTAACAACCAATTAATTTTTCATGGAATCAAACAGAACCTACAATTTTCTTCACAAAAAAAATAAAATAAAATAAAATAAAAAAATAATAAATTGTAGCAGCCTTCAGCGTGACTTAATATAGTGAACTGTTACAAATTATATCAGAACCACCGAAAGTGTGGCCAGTGTTTGGGTAAGGGGGTGATTGTGGTGGGTCTACACTAGTAGGTCATTATACAAGTTTTTGTTGTCTTCCTAAGGATTTGCTTGTGTGTATGTGGGCAATATCATTTAAATAATCAGTCTTTTTAAGAATTGATCAGCTAGTGATAAGTTGATAACACTAGTTGATACTGATGATGATCAGGTTCTTAGGAATATTTGCAGAAGCTGATTTGGAAGAGATTAAAGCCGCTTACCGGAGGTTATCAAAAGAATATCATCCGGACACAACTTCACTCCCACTGAAAGGACAAGTTCACGAAACTAAAAGAAGTTTATGATGTGTTGAGTGATTGTTATGACCAACGCAGCCGCAAGCTAAGCAACAATTACAATTAGGAAACACGACACGAAAAAAAAATAAATAAATAAAAATATGCAAAGAATATAAAGATTTATACTTCAGCAAAACTTACGCTCACGGTGGACATCTGGTGAAAGTTTTCACTATATATAAAATCAAATATTATAAATGTCAGTTCTCCATTATTTTTCTATACGATTTTTAGTGTCTCTTGATCGTTATACTCCAAACTCTAAGCACCCTTATATGTCGGGTTATAAGAGAGTATTAATTAAGGTCCACGGCCTATAAGCAAAAACGGCCTACACAAAGCTTATCCAATGGGTCATAAGCGAGTCGCAATACGACCTAGTACCAAATTCGGATCACAATATCAAAGTGATGATGAGAGGTGGCTAGTCGCTTGCTTAGGAGGCCGCGAGTCAGGAAGATGAAGATGAAGTTGGAGAATCCATACATGGTGGATTTAGAGAACTATGAGTCTGTCCCGGACGTGGTGGATCGTCCCGGTGGAAGGAACTTGTAGCTCAGTGACCAAGCAGTTTCTGCTCTTATAGTTGCAATTTGTTGCATCATTTATGTCATCTTCTTCAAGGAACCATATTACAAAAGGATTGATAATTAATGACAATGTAACAATATTTTTTTTTGTGTATATAATATATATAATTGCAAAATTTGTATAGTTAATTATGATTCATGGAGATTCAAACATATCATTTTTCAATGGTTTAGTTTCAGATTCTACATTAATTCAAGTTCAATGGGCAAGTTGGTAACTGGGTACCCCTTAATTTGTGCCTTTGGCCATATGAAATTTATGTTCAATTAATTAATGTCACAAATTTATTTTTTTTGGTAAATAATCAATGCCACAAGTTATTAATTACATTGTGTATCTTTACTTCTTAAATAGTTATTTGAATCCACTAAAACCTGAATTCCGATATAATAAAAATAGTTTGACATATGCATTGATTTTTTTTTATTTTTTTTTTCTTACACTTTAACATCTGAAAACGCCAATTTTGTAATTAACATTAAAAAAAAAAAAAATTTGTAATTTGTAGTCAAACAGCAAGTCAAAGAAAAAGGAAGATTATCTCAATATTAACAATTAAAGAGACGGTTGCGAGGCACTTCGAAAATCTAGCTAGTTATTCAAGTTCAACTCCATTAATAATCAAAGAATTATTTTAGCTCGAGTTGAATCTGAATATAAATGTTTGTGACTTAAATGCTTCTTGTGAAGTTTGAACTCGGTTTATTTATCCCCTCAAGTTACATTTGAACTAAAATTCAAGATATACAAGGAGTCAAGGAGAAAAGTTTTTCGTAATACAAACAAGCTCTAGTAATAGATAAATAAGCTACACAAATTTGTTAACAAACACTTATTTATGAATACTACAGCTACCGAACATATGTTAAAAAAAAAAAAAAAACTCCAAATTTGAGCTTTGGCCACTAAAAATATATTTTATTTTCAAATCAAAAGCACTTTTTGCCCTTCAACCACACAACATAAGCAACAATTGTTACCTTAGGAGAAAATAGTAATAATAAGAAGAAGAAGAAAAACTGAAAAACATATGTAGCAATTATTAGTTTTTAATAACCAACCATTGGTATTCAATCATTGACCATTTAGAGTGCGTTTGGAGTTAATATAGCTTGTAAGCGCATCTCTAATGGGCTCTCCGAATTTAGGCTCTCCGAATTCGCCACATTAGCATTTTTCAATAGTCACGTCAGAATTTTTTTACTGCTTTGCCCTTTTTTTCTCTAATTTGGGCAATTTAGGGTTTCAGCTTCAATTCTGACAGCATTGGCCGGTGGTGTGGACTGGTGTGATTGTTAATCATGGGGGAGGATCCTTCCTCCTCTCTCATGTTGGTAGGGGCTGGTAATCCTCATGCATCAGTCCAGGACCAAAACCAAAAACCGAACTCTCCACCTTCGTGGAGGAAGTTGTTTGAAGTTGAGGTGCAGAAGAAGATGGAGAAACTGCCTTATATACCGAAGTGTCGTGGGGCGAAGGTGGTTAAAATCTCGGATGAAGATGTTGAGGAAGAGGTAAAATGTTGGAAACATTCAATTGTGGGCTATGTGGTGGGAAAACGGCCATATTTTCCACATTTTAATGATTTCTTGAAGCGAATATGGAAATTAGTGGGTGTGCTTAAATTGGTCTCATTGCCAAGAGGGTTCTTTATGGTGAGGTTTGAAAATGCAGAGGCAGTTCAAACTATTCTACAACATATATATACTTATCAAGGTCGCCCTATGATTCTGAAACGATGGGAGAAGAATGTTAACTTAGAGAAAGAAGTTTTGGGATCGGTTCCTATTTGGGTTCGATTGATTAGTTTACCCATGCATTGTCGTGGGAAGATGTCCATAGCTAGGGTTTGTTCACAATTTTCTAAGCCTTTGTTTCCTGATGAGGCCACTATTGCTAGAGAGCGTGAGGGTTTTGTTAAAGTAATGGTTGAGGTTAATGTACATGATGAACTGCCTGAAGTGGTTCATATGGATATTCATGATACTGAATGTGAGATTGTAGTTGAGTACAATTGGAAGCCACAATTATGTAGGAAATGTAATGGTTATACACATGCTGAAGCTAATTGTCCTATGCAGGCTAAGAAGAAAAAGGTTGTCTCTAAATGGGTTGTAAAGCAAAAAGGAAAGATGATACCAGTTGATGAGGGTCTAGAATCTAATGTGGATGTTAGTGGGGTAGAAGCTGAGGTGGTTGTTCAGAAGATTCAAGATTTGGTGGATATAGTGCATGTTAATAAGGTGATCTGTGAAGAGGGTGTGAAGGTTATAAAAGAAAGGCTCAAGGGTACGGCAACAATTATTAATAAGGTTGTTGCTGATATGGATGTGCAGAATGCCAAAAATGATGTAACAACAATTATTGAATCACCTGTGAATAATGATAATTTGAAGATTGATATAGGGGTTAATGGAAGTCCGGTGGCTGTGGGTTCGGAGCTCCAGGTGTCCACTGATTCAATATTGTGTAGTAGTCCAGTG